ACTAAGAATAGGCTCTGAGTTCAGGGTTCAGGGTTCAGGGTTTAGGGTTTAGGGTTTAGGGTTCAGGGTTCAGGGTTTAGGGTTTAGGGTTTAGGTTTCAGGGTTTAGGGTTTAGGGTTTAGGGCTTGGGGAGGGGAATGGCTTTGGGACTTTGGGACGCTGTAGGGGTTTAGGGATGAGACTCTTAGGGAGCGCTGTGTCTCGCCGAGCGGCGGTATACCACTGCCTCCATCTGGCGTCTGGATCGTGTCGAAGTCTATGATTTTGATCTTGGCTGATATGATGTGAGCCAGATCACTTCAAACCGGGCCCGTCTGAAGTCTTCAGCTCCCGGCAAGGATGTCACCTCTTCTCACGCGTGACAGCATCACGTTTTCCAGCTTGATGTCCCTAGCACGGTCATCATTGCCAAGCTGAGTGTACCAAGAGCAATCCGAATCCGTCAGCCGCAGGCACCTGTGTATGCAAGTCTTGTGCAAATCACGAAGTCCAGAAAGAAGCTGACGAAGCACTTCCTGCAAAGTCTGCCCACTAGTTTGCATGCCATGCCCAGCTGACCTTCGATGGAACATGGACTGCCTGACTGCTACGGCACCCCGACAACGGTCCTTAATATCGTCCTCAGACAGCATCTCTTTTCCTGTCAGCACCTGACTGTCTTCGGCAGGAGCAGACGTTATGCATGAAAAGGCGTGCATGTGCAATTCTGTTTCCTCTATGGTGCTACATAAACATTGCACTTCATTACACCACCATTGCTGTGACGAAAGCGAAAACAAGTTTGGGTTATCTGCCTTCTTGCACTGCAACAGTTAGTTCTCCACGGGAAGCCGAGTTTTCAATCCACACAACAAGAAAAAGACTTGCGCGTTGTCATTACGAGTGGCGAGGATCAACAGCGGAATCAAGATCAACATGTGCATGCATACCTATACGAACACGAAAACCAGTAGCAATGCATGCATGCGGGCAAAGTTCCCTTCATTGCTATGCCAAGCTCTAAACTCCGAAGCCCCCAAGCACAGAACCCCCCAAACCCAGTATGTGTATACATATATATATATATATATATAGACATATGCATAAGATGTATTCTTTCTGTTCAAATTCTGGAATTTGTATTTTTAGTATGTTATATATTAACTGTATATCGTATAACGGTATGTATTTTGATATATCCCTTGGTTCGTAACTTGAGACCGGCCTCATAGAGATCCTGGCCGGTCACTCGTTCCATGCTCACCTTGCCGCAAGGCTGAATTGTGATGTCAAGGATTTCAGGGTTCAGGGCATGCGGGTAGGCTTAAGATTTATTAGGGTGAAGGGCCAGAGGTGTAAGTTTGGGTGTCCAAACCCAACTCCCGAAATGAAGGCTGGGCTATGCTTTTCAAGACCCAAGAGGCATAATAGGCGAGCTTGTCCTCGTAGACTTGCAGAATGTTGCAGAGGAATCTACTCCTCTTTAGCCGCAGCATAACTTCTGCATTTTGCCTCCAGAGTGTCCTTGACGAGCGGAAGTTGAGAACCATAGAGTTTACATTAAATCTCAGGGAATATAAAGTTATTAGTAGCAGCACTAACACGGGACACAGGCACCAGAAGAATGCCTTTGCAGGGCCAAGCGTCTCCTCACCACTGAGGGCAAAGAACGTCTTCTGCAGAACCTATGTCTTGGCAGCGGAAGCGAGGCTTTCTTTAATGTATGCCACTGCCAAGGCCGAACACCCCTGCCCGCTGCTTGCAAGAAGCTTTGACAACCACGGGATCGTTGTTGTCAACCTCACGGATATGAAGGCTCCCGCAGGCAATCCAAATAGCCCGAGCTGAGCTGGCTCCGGCATGTGATCGGCACGACCCGAAGCCAACTAAGATATGGGCTCTTCTTGCATACAGCACCTGCCAGATAGGTGTTTTGCCCTTATGCCACATGCACAAACACTCTTCAGAATTCGGTGCAGCCAGGTCTGCGACCACGAAGTGCACCCTCCCTTACATGCCTTCACGTGCTCGTTCGAAGGAGGCTGGACTTGATGCTTCAGGACCTGGACTTACACAAGTTTGCTTCAAGGCAGACTCACAGAACACTCGCCGGGCGGGGCACGAAAACGTCATCGATGCTGGAAATCTTCTGTATGCCCACGCCGGTGCTCTCGTGAAGGAAAGTCCCGGCCATGTTGGCCTCATTGCATGAAGCCAAGAGTGGTGGCTGCCCACGACAAGAATTGCTGGCCGAATCTCCCTGTTATCATCGGGTGCGGACAGGGCACGCAGGCCTTTGTCAGACCTTTGGCAGTACCCTGAAAAAGCCCAGTGCTCATTGTCTGCACCATGGGCGCCAGAGACTGCGTGAACTCCCCTTCGTCGATCTTGTCGAGAGGCATCCTGACAGAATGGTTCTGGCGACTTCGATGAACAGTTGCAGCTTCGGGGTTTGGGGCTTCTTAGGGACATGTACAGCCTCTTGCTTGCCCGCAGGTTCTCACCTCAGACACCCTGAACCCCAAACTTCCTAAGCCTTCAAACCTCAAGCTTCCTACATGGCATCCGAAAGTGCTCTCTGCTTGCGCTCGGGTCCTGTTGGGAAGCGACTCCTCCGGCGCCTGGGATGGCAAAGGGGCGGATTTGGCCTCCTTCGTTCGGGAATGGCCCACGACGTGTGGGTTTCATAAGACCAGGCGACCTTACAATACCTTACTGCTACTGCACTAGTGGTACTAGTAGTCGTCGTCTGGTCGTCGTCGTGGTCGTCGTGGTCGCAGTCGTAGCGGCAGTGGGAGTGGTACTGGTAGTGACAGTGGAAGTGGTTGGTAGCGCTAGGGGTCTTGGTAGTGGTAGCGGTCGTGGCAGTGATAGCAGTAGTGGTAGCGGTAGTGGCGGTCGTAGTCGTAGTCGTCGTAGCCCGTAATCCTGGTCGTAGTCGTAGCCGTTGTAACAGACGTCGTACGTCATCGTCGTAGTCGCATATTGGTAGTGATAGAGGTAGTGGTAGCAGTGGCAGTGGCAGTGGCAGTGGCAGTGGCAGTGGTAGTGGCAGTGGTAGTGGTAGTGGTAGTGGTAGTTGTACCAATTGGAGCTGTAGAAGTGGTAGGGGCAGTTGCAGTGGTAGAGACATGGTAGCAGTGGCAATAACCTAGTAGTAGTAGTAGTAGTAGTAGTAGTAGTAGTAGGAGGGGGAGGAGGAGGAGGAGGAACCACAACGCACCGGATTTAGATGAAGCAGGGAAAACCCAAAGAAAAGCTGGGCCAGCTTGCACTAATCGTCACTAAAAGTGGCTTCAACTCAGGCCTTGAGTTTTATTGCATACGGCTATTTGCAATACAGAATCGGGGACCGGATCTTTAGTTTGGCAGGTTTCCAAGTATTATTAGAGAAGGCTTTTGGGCTTATTCTATAGGATTTCGGGCTTCCCTTGTAAAAACCGTAAACGTCATACTCTTGGTCGAGTCGATTCCTTCTAGTAAAGGGGCGTGTAAGGTAACGCTTCTATGCCTTCTTAATCTGATGGCTTCGTCCAGGGCTACTCGCCTTGGGCGTTAAAGGCTTCATGGTTCAGGTTTCGGGTTACCGGTCAAAGGTTCGACCATGGATGCTCTACGGGAACGGATGGGGTCGCAGTGGACGTTATCACGCTTCGATGGATGCGCTTGCCACTGCACGAACAGGTCACTCGGATGCAAGCATGCTTGGAGCGTGAAGGCCTGGGGAGCAGCGGAAACAACAAAAACAAACGAGGTCTTCGGCACGCGACACACGGGACACGGAGCATGAAAGACCGCAAAACATGGCAAAGCACGCGGTTTTCGGCATACGACACCCGCGAAACACCACAAATACCAACGTTCTCGCTGTGTCCGCGAAGGCGGAAAGTGGACTGGTCGGAAACACCGACGACACCGATATAGACATATTCGGCATGTCAACCACACGAAATCTTGTAAACACCGAGTTAAGCGGCATGTGGGTTTTTGCGTGTTTACGTTGTGTCGAGCCAACAACCACCACCACCTATCACAACTTCATATCTCCCGGTCAAAGTGGCTTGTGGCACTGGTGAATGTCCAGGAGACTTCGGCGTCCTGATGTGAGACGCACATGGTTGCTTGGCTCTCCTCTCCGCTGCGGCTGACGTGCAACTAAGTTGCGCAGAGTCTGTCGATTTCCTGCTAGATCTGGAGGTGAAGTTCGCCCTGCATTCACAGGCTCTTTGAACGAGTGCATCATCCGCAACATGCCTGTTGTTTCAACATCAATGCGCACACTACGCTCCGAACCCCATATAAGGCTCGAAAGCTGTGCCCTTTTGAAGCTACTGTGCATCAACAACGCCGAGCCGGTCCTATTCTGTTCGAAATCCTTTTTGCCAAATCGACTAATTAGTAGTGTCTGGTATCATGATCGGCAGCAAACAAATGAATGACAAAGTGTCGAGTTGGACCTCTACATCTCCAAACCTGGAACCCCAAACCTTCATCCCAAGACCAGCAGCATCCTACAGCCCAGACCACTCAACCCTAAACGACCCCTGATCCTACGCCATCCTACACCCCAAATTCCGGCAACAAGTCCCAAACCAAACACGAAAACAAAAACTGCCAAACCCGACACCAAAATCCCAAACCCCAAACCCTCATGCCCGTACCCCAAAGCCCCAAGCCCTACGATCCCCGTGCAGGCCTCAAAAAAGCCTCAGCCAAGAAAGACGAAAGGCTCGTGTTTGGGGTCTCGGGTTTCGGGCTGTGCTTCGTTTATTTTTTGTATATGTGGCTCTCAGATATTCAGTAAGAAACTTGACAGGGTTCAGGGTTTAGAGGTCCAAGGTTTCGGCAGCTTGAGGTTTGGGGCTTAGTGCTCGTGAACCAAAAGTCTGTGGCTGTTACCTGACGCGTCCATGCAGCCGGAGTGGTATTGCAGTTAGTGGTATCCTCATGTTTATAGCCGTTGCTGTGAGCATCGTCTTTGGTAGGAGTTCTGCTTGATCTTCGTTGTCGCATTGGTGTTCATTGCTGTTCCTCTTCATCTTAAGTGATCACTTTCATAACTACTACCACGACCACTCTTCGTGGCATCCCTTGAACCCTAAACCCATGATTCCCTACATTACTCTCTGTATATATATATATATATATACATATCTATATACATATCTATATGTATACATATATATATATATATATAGATAGATATGTATACATATAGATATGTATATATAGAGATATGTATATATATATATATATCCGCATTACACAAAAATGCCAGGCAGCCCTTGGTCGGAGGAGCAGGGCCCGCGAGGATCTTCGATGCGCCGAGGGAGACGTGTTCGTGGGGGAGTCAGGTCTTGGCTCGCGCACGCCCTCCGTCTCCTTGATCATCCCCAAGGACATGCGCCTGGAGCCGGCTACAGGCCTACTTGGAGGTTCATGGGTAGTTCTAAAAGGAGTTATAAGTAGGGTAACTATAGTTATAACCCATATTAGGGGACTTATAACCCCACTTATAACTACCCATGAACCTCCAAGTAAGGGGCTTCTTTGAGACTGTGGCGTAGGTTTAGGACGTAGGACTTGGCGATCTTAACTTTCGGTTCGATTGCACTGCTGGTCTTGGCAGACAAATTAACTTGGGAAGAACCCGCGCCTTTCAATCCTGTACAAAGACAGGACTGCAACACATACGGAGAACAAGGACGCTCTGCCTCTGTTTACCAGCCTTCAACTCTGCATGTCTTGCTACGGACGCAGGATTCAAACGCGACAGGCACTCACCAAACCGAATCCAGAACAAGGGTTCCTGGAAATTGCCTTGCAGAGAAGTTGTGTAAAAAGCCGGAAGCCACTTCTGTCGGTTATGGGCTTTGGCCTCAAAGTTAGGGGCCGAGGGGTCACACAAACTTGCCAAAGCGGAGACATCGCTCAGCTTTCCGGGCCTGCTCAGCCATTTGAGCGCCATGATCTCGCAGCCCTAAGCCCCTACCTCTAACAGCTGAGTCAACATGGCCGCAATGCTCCAGCTGTCGCACTCAGCCCACGAATAGACGCAGGAACGATAACGAGTTGAAGCTAAAAGACCAGCACCAACATGCCCATCTGTGGAAGCAAGGCTTCATGCGTCTCTCTCCCTTGCACTCACCCCCCTAACATCCCAAAGCCCAAAGAAACACCTCGAGTAATTTCTTGGGAGCCTTTCAGAACTCCGGGGCTCCCGGCGATGTGGGGAACTTCCGGTGCAGGATCAGGAAGCCCCGCACTGCTGCATGCGCAGGCTCGCCCTGGACATTGAGTAGGGTTTAGGGTTTAGGTTTTTTTTTTGTTGACACCTCTTTTCCANNTTCCACCTGCCTGGTTAGTTAGGTCGAACGCCAAGTTGGCTGAGGCTGTTGCTTGCTGCACCCCCAACCACAAATATAACCCTAACTCAATAGACCTCTCGCAGCCGAAGCAACTCCCGTCGGAGCAGAGCTCAACAACAGGTGCTCATGCACTAAATTTGTCAAGGTAGCAACCATCGTTCCCCAATCATTCACGTTATCACCTACAGCATCACGGAAACCACACTTCTTTAACCAACTGCAGTAATCTAAAGTAGGCAAACTCCAATCAAGGAACTGTGCTCTGTGCAAACTGTAGCTGCCAAAGGACTGAGCTTGTTGGACCGTAACGACTCGTTATACCTAGTTAAATCGAAAAAGGTTTAGGGTTTAGGGTTTAGGGTTTAGGGCTTAGGGTTTAGGGCATTGAGTCCCTGAACTCTCCAGCTAGCCATCTATCCATCGATGCATACACAGAAGATGTAAACAGAAGACAGAGGGAAAGCTGGAAGGACAGGCGGGCACACCAGACCAGAGACAGACACGTAGATCGATGGATGAATGGATGGCTGGCTGGCTAGACAGCCAAACAGACAGACAGACAGACAGACAGACAGACAGACAGACAGACAGACAGACAGACAGACAGACAGACACGCAGACGTTCATACATATATGTTATATATGGGTGGTTGTCAGAATTATGGTCCCTTTTGGGGTACCCTAAATAATAGGTGCCGTACTATTTTAGGGACCCAAAAAGG